TCTTTCTTTCTTTCTTTCTTTCTTTCTTTCTTTCTTTCTTTCTTTCTTTCTTTCTCCTAGACTTGGAACAATGTAGAGCTTGATCCTGTGGAGTCAGTCCATACAAAACTGCAGCCACCTCAAAGTAACTCTTTTTCAACAAATGCAGAAGAAAAAAGTGAACTGCCTATGAAGGCCCCGGGCTGTGATGTACCAACTGAAGAAAAGGTTAAAGCGGTATTTTCTAATGCTCCTATACATTTCACTAACAAATCCTCTTGTGTCCAGGCCCAAAGTGGAGTCCTTCCACCCAGCACAGTAGTAGTAGTAATGTTTATTCAGTCAGTGACCAGGAAAATTAAAAAATATACAAGGAAGTAAAATCAAATGGGTGAGATAAAATACCAACACTATAATAAAAGTGTAGCATAAGCTACTGTAATGTTATGTTAATTAACTGTGCAAGTATAAATCTAAAATATTACAATCTATGAAGTAAAATACATACAGTATCACCTAAAACAAGTAACACATAATAAACTTGAAGTGATGAGTAAAACAGAAGATCCACCCAGCATTGTTACTTTACCCTTTGATACTTGAATTTAATTTTTATTCATTTTAGTGCTTGTTCATCTTGTTCTTTTGGGCAGAACAGCTTGCCTAAATTGGATCCTGCCACATACAGAGGATATAGGGCAAAGTCCAAGAACAATTCTCTCACCATTTCTCCATTTCATCTCTTCTTCACTTTGTGATTCAGTAGTTACCACCATCTGCCTCAAATTTCATACCAGAAATCAAAACAAAATGGTGGAACCCTCTTTTTTTGTTTTTGAGGAGGAATGTGAAAAAGAAACTCCTCTTTCTCACTGAGAGGGGAAGACGATGACAGCTGCTACCTTCATGAAACCAGTGAATACAGAGAACATCCTTTGTTGAATACTGATGAGCAGTTGGCTATAGTTTAATATTCCCAGAAGATTTCCTCAAAATATCAGTCAGTGGTATTATAGCTTGTGTGTACAAACATACACTGTAGACTTGGCTTGGATAATACTTCAGTATCTGTGGGTATTGTGCAGTAACATTCAAGTGATGTCTCCATAAATTCCCAGAAGACTAGTTCAGAGCCTACCAGCCAGTTATATGGACTCCTTGAAAGCAACTGATATATAAAATGGCTGTTTTCTAAAAGGAATATGTGATTTCCACCCCCATACTTTGTTGTTGTTGTTGTTGTTGTTGTTGTTGTTGTTAGCAATATGGACTGAAAACAGTCCAAACAAGTCTCTTGGTGCTCTGATTAGTATTACTAGAAACCAGGTTAATGTTACAGCACAGGAATTCCAGTGAGTACTCTGCTTTCAAATGAGAAATCTATATCTAGGCAGTTTAAGGCAACAAGTTTCTGGATGGTTTCATGCTTTTCTGACATGAAAGGGAGGGGATTTGTCACTTGTGAAAGAAAGGCAGTCTGGAAACAGCTACTAGACTTTATCAATGTGAGAACCAGCTATCCCATTTTTGGTGGAGAAGACTAACATTTTCAACTTCCCCTCTTTTTCCACAGTTTCCACTATCTTCCATCTGTCTAGAAGAACCACCTGAGAGAGCCCTTAAACAAAAGGCTCCAGAACTGCTCCTCTTAAGCAGCTCTTTGAGAACATCGTCTATTCCATTTGACTTGAATACTAGCAGCAGAGGGAAGAGAATTGACACTTCTCAAGCAGAAATCCATGAAGACCAAATAAATAGTAGCCAGGGTTCCTTGGGAAGTCCCACTCTTCCACACATCATTATCATTCCTACCTCAGAAACCACTCTGTCTGAAGAACAAGCTGAGCCAGAAAATAGAAAGGAAGAAAACACTGATTTATTCTTTGCTCAAGAGAAGAACCACCTGTTAGTCAAAGGAAGGCTTCACCCCTCTACTCACAGTTGAGAAGCTTGTGTCATAAGCTTGCCTGTTTCTTCAAATAATTATACCAAAAACAAAATTGCAGAATGGTGTAGATGAAACTAAAGATAATTTATAGGGTTATTTTCCCATGCAATCTTGAGGTCGTTTCTGAACTTTATGCACTTTGTAGAAGCCAACTACAACAATAGGGGCTGAAGGCCCAAAGCTTAGATAACATGTTTGTCAACAAAACCACCTAGTAAATATGTCTTTATATAATTGGAATAGATTTGCATGCTTCCATACTTTACTGAGTAAGGGCGGTGCTGCCTGTCCTATCACAAATTCCAAGAAAAAGTTCAGGGATATATGCAACTATTCATTTTCTCTTGCACAAGATCTGTGACTTAATCCTTCCTTATTTCAGTTATCAGCTGAAAGATGATGGGTCAAGTGGAGATGGTTGAGGACTACATGTTGAAGAACATGTAGCTCCTCACAACCAGTAGCATGTTGACCTCTTGTTTTAACTTCTTAAAATAGTTAATTTGTCATCTGTCCTGTAACTGAAATGGCAATACAGGAGTGAGAGATGAATTTGAAAATGGATATATTTAAGGAAAAAATGTATACATTTAAGGATTTTTTTTTAAATCTCAAACCATCACTTTCTTCTTTGTCTCACTGACATGCAGTCCTTTCCAACTTACCTATTTGTATAGGTGCAAATTTTTTTTGAGGTTGAAATCCATTCAGCCTTTGAATGATACTGAGGGACTGCATTCTCAAAAGTGGATGGGTCAGGATAAAAGTTAAATTTAAATTAAATTAATAATAGTTAATATTATTACTTCCTATGCATTTAATTACAGAAGACTGACAACTTTTGGAGTTGCCAAAGGGGCTGCATCCAAAGATTTGGAGAGTGTCAGTTTTATTAGAAAATGGTTATCACTCATTTGACCAGAAAATAAGAGTTGTTTAAGAAATGATCTGCTAAGGACAAACTTCGCAGTTGATCTGTACTATTCAATTTAATTTACAAAGTTTTAAGGCTTTGCACAGTGCTTCTATACATATTTCTTTTCATTCCAAATGTAAAGGTGTCAAGCACATGATCGAACACTTCCTCTTTTCCCACTGGCAGGAACTAGACGAAGAGACAATACTACCATTTCTTCTCTTTAGAATTATATCAGTAGGAAAAAACAAAAAATTTACAACTGTGTTTCATAGTTCTTTGTCAATAGTTATGAATTGTTGAACTCTCCCAGTAGGCTTTATTCACAAGGGACAATAAAAACATTTAAGTGCTGTAATGTGGTTGTTCTTTTTTGTTGATTGCAAGCTCTTTATGGTTCCTTCCCCACAGACATTATTAGATTCCAGTTGCCATAACCCCGACCATTGATCACACTGAGAGTCAGAGGGTCACAAGGTTTGTAGGACTGCCTTAGAGGGCTAAAGAATTGCGCATACTTGTTGCAAAACTAGAAGCCTGTGCAATCATGCTGATATCTTATTTCAAAAGTCTCTCAGCTAAATGGATCAAAATGCTGCTGACCTGCAATTAGTTCAATATACATGAAGTATCTGTTGATGTAGAAACAAAGTTGTTTGGATCAGAAATGCCCAACTATGAGATAAGTATGCATGGAAGTGCTGGTCAACATATAATTGAGGAATATATTGTATGACTACACATCTGGCTATTCTTGCATAGTTGTTATTCTCTGTGACTATGATTCATTGAGGTCAAACATTTCCAGTCTTTCCAATCCTACACTGATACATGCAAAAACTTATTTGTTCTGAAACGATTGTGTATTTATGGGACGGGGGCCAAGTAATGAAAAATGTGTCATCATGCAAACCCCACCCCTTTACACACTTGCATGTGATGTCACAAAGCCAGCACAAAAGGGCAATGCTTATATTGTGATGTAATGACACCCATTTCATCGATTTGGCAACATAGTAGCAAATGGGAACAGAAAAAAATATGCAGTCAGAAGAACATGTCCTGGAATAAACCCAAGCTAGCAGTCAGGAGCAAGGAAAAAATAGCCATGAGACTCACATTTTCTACCTTTTGTGGGAAGACGTTTAGCTGCCTTTGTCAAATACAGTTGACCATCCCTCTTTCCTTTATGACCGAATCATATAGGTATATGCTATCATATTTAATTTGACCCTAAACAGTGCACTCTTAGTCTGTGTTTGCTTAATCAAGTCTGTTAAAAGTCTAGTGGCTTCATATGCTCAATGTATTGTAAAAACCCAGAAAAAGCTTTCAGCAACCCACTTCCACACAAATTCAGCCTTAGAGAATCCACTGTGAATGGATCACATTTCAGTGCTCAAAAGTTTAAGGACATGAGTTACTCTGTCTACTTTTTATGGTTTGCAGTGTGGAATTAGTTTTACTATAGTATGGGACCCAGATGTGATACAAAAGGAACACTTTACTTTCAACTTTATTGATTAGTCTTACAACCATATCAACAAGAATAAGAAACATCAGCAAAGGTGAAACAAATAACTAATACACAAAATCCATGACACAATAAAATATTATAATAATAAATGGGATAGTACAAAACATAATAAACACTTTACTTTCAACTTTATTGATTAGTCTTACAACCATATCAACAAGAATAAGAAACATCAGCAAAGGTGAAACAAATAACTAATACACAAAATCCATGACACAATAAAATATTATAATAATAAATGGGATAGTACAAAACATAATACTACTATCAAATAATAATGTATCGCTAATGTCATAAATCCAGATTCATATAAGGCCATCACTCCTACATAATACACCAATCTGTTCTATATATCGGGCTCTCAGCTGAACTGCCTTGTCTACAAACTTGGCAGTCCTACTCACAATAAAGATATTTGTGCCCGAAAGAAAATAGGATAATCTGTGTTTGGAGTCCCAATGGACCAAAAGGAACACTGACATGCAGTTTTGTTCAATTTCTTTCTTAGGTTATGTAATGCTATCATTATGTAGAGTGAGGATGGGTAACACGAGCAAGTAGTTCTTCAAGTGTAGTATGTATAAATGTCGTTGTGATTATTATTATTACTATCATCGTCGTCGTCAAAATATTGGTGAAATCCTTACAAGCATACAGGCCTGCTCTAACTTACTTAACTTGCTTTACTGGATTGGTATCAACTGCAATCAAATTGCATTGATAATTAACAATAGCCCTCAGGTAAACAACAGCACAATAAAATGCCCAGGGTGCAAAATTAAACTTAACTAAATAATTAAAAATGCAACAACAATAATACAAATGAGTTGTCAAGTTCATCTATAACTTAAATCACCTAGCCACTAGATGTCATCAGTGAGATTATTTTCAAAATAACCATTTTTGGAATTGATCGTATTTCACTAACAGGATAACCTGTTGTTTTTTCATTCTGGGTCAAATCAAGGTATTTAATGTGCAATTGTTCTGCTTCAGGGCATGTTAGGAAACCATGTGAATGAAACATCCAGAGTAAGAAATGTGTTTGCATGAAAGAGGATATAAAACATTAAAAACCACCAGCCGGCTCTGATTAAGAACATTTTATTAATATACACCTTAATCCAGATTTAAGGGTGGGGTAAGACTTGGAAAGTGAGCTCTCTAACAACAATGAACCACGCCTAATTTATACATGCAGGTATCATACTTTGTTATTATGACAGGCAATTGCTGAATAAAGAATGCATTACTCAGGTAGAAAGTACCACATTTCAGGTGATACAAAGGCTTTGATTTGTGGCATTATATGTGTAACTCCCCACACACGTATGCATGTCCATACTTATATCACTGTCATCAAATCAGGCCCAAGTCTCCCAAGAATACTTACATACAGTAAATGAGATATTGTGAATCATATTAATTTTAATGGGCATTCCAGATCTACTTCAGCCTGGAATATGCGATTGGATGTTTTATCATGATATTCCTGTATAGGGAGGATTTGAAGTTTTAAATGTTGGGGTTCCTTGTTAAATGCCTGCAAGTTGCCCCTGTTCTACCAGCAGTTAATATTAAAGTATATAAAGTAGAGAAATCTCGTTCCAGCTCTCATAATTTCCCACCAGTGATGTGAAACTTTCCCAGTAAGATAGGTTTTTTCAATTAACCCTGTGTCCGACTTGAACAGGACCATAAGAATTCCTTTCCTGCTCCTATCATCTCCCCCAACCTGTTCACTTTCTCAGTAAAAGGTATTCAAATGGGTGGTGGTAGTTTAGCGGCAGGTTCTCATGGAATAATCTGTACTAATTTCAATCCAGTGTCAAGCTCAATTTTTTTATTTGCACTATGACTTTTGTGAAGGAAAGTTGCTGTCAACAGTTTTCGTGCCTGGGAAGCGGATGTTTCTTCTGTTTTGAATGGGATTGCTTGCTCTTCTAAAACAGCTTAATCAGCACGGATTCAGCATTACCTGGTTCCTCTGCTGTGACTCTTTGCGGACAGGGATATTCTGCCATGCTAAACCATATTTTGATAAGTTTACAGGTTGACTCCTGGAATGTATTATAGTTGAGATTGCCACTGAATGTGACTTAGACATTTACCTGGAGAGAATAAGTTGGCCAACATTTTGCTTAGAATTCTTGTGTTTATGCAGTGCATCAGTTTTCAAAGGAGCTCTTCTGTTGCCTGTTCATTTCCAGGCTGAATTCAAGATACTGTACAGTACTAGTAATTATAATAAGGACTCAATGTTTATGGTTCTTGAGATAGCATCCTAAAGACCATAAAGATGGTCATTTCCTCTTCCTCAAAGATCAGAGGAAGAGTTATGACTTCAGAAGGAGAAATTGAACATCAGATTTCTCCTCCCCCATTGCCATCAGACACTATAGGTGTATTCCCCCCTACCCGCACCCTACATTGACAATCAGTTGCTGGAAAAAATCTAGAGTGTGTGGTGGTGAGTGAGATGGTAGCGTTTTTTATCTCCGAAGTTCTGTGTATAAAATAGGGTGGACTACCAATAATCCTGGC